TACTACCTAGACAATACTACTGCGGAAACCAGAACGCCTCAGAGAATAAAAACTTGTACTTTTGCCTTCAGATTCTGCGTATATGCAGACATCTGTTTATAGAGATTACTATACTGGAGGTATTCTCAGAACCCATCTGCTATCAGTCTGACAACAATCTAGCCTCTGGGGGCAACAGCCAATATTTCAAGGGTTACCATGTAGCCAGCGGATATCTGGATAACAGATATCCGTGCCAAGACTTCCTCTTCCATGTGCTGGTCATGGTTTACAGTCTGATTAGCAAACTTGAGGCGCTATATACACATGTCAAGACTAATGAGGCTCTATAAACAGATATTTGCATATGAAAGCAAATTCATCATCCGATCATAGCCAGTGGGTTCTGAGGTTGCATTTTGGCCAGTGCGCTCCACCTCTTTTGCTCTCCGCTCGGACTGCTCGGCCAAAGCCCACTTGATCGTGATTGGTCAATTGGTCAATGCCTACAGATTCTTCAGTCATATGCGTCTGTTTGAAGAGATTATACTGGGGTGGAGGGGTTGGGTTACATATGTCATCCAACAAATCATATACGTACTGTACCATTTCTTGAAAAGAAGTTTCCAAAGCTTGATTTCCTAACTCTTAGGTACTTGGTTCAATAATAAGGAAAACAACTTGCAGCAACTTGAATTTTGATTGAGAATGAAATCAATCCATCCCACTGACCTTTTTCTGCTGTTGTTTTGTAGTTATGCAAGAGTCAGCAGGAACAGATCTCAAAACTCATCTTGTTGGTGCGTTTAACGCAATAATACCTGCGGCTTAGAGTCACCTGTCAAACAGCACGCTTTTTAATGCAAGAAAAAATTTGACTTTCTTATTAGTGATCTTTCAGGTTGGATCCTGTGACAACATACCTTTACAGCAGAGTGCTTTTGGCAGCCGTGTCTCAAATATCAGATGTCCTTGACTGCATGAAGGAGGAAAATGGTTTACCACAGAACAATAACATATCTTTGATAGGGACATGTTCTTTGTGACGGAGTCTCTCTGTTTTATTTCAATAATAGAATGAAATTAATACAACCCCATAGCTGCAGGTTTAAAAATTAATCTTAAAATTTGTTGAGTGGTTTGACAAAATGGTTAGCAGTATTGTTAAGTGTTCAAGATTGTTTTTTAAGGGGGTAAAACAAGCAAAATGTGTGGTATGGCCCTTTAAACTCTACCTGTGTACCCTTGTGGCTGAGCACAAAAGGAGAATTTGCCTCCCTCGAGTCCTGTTTATAGCCAGAGAGACTGCGGCGTGCTTGTGTTTTATGGTCTCGAGAATATTTTATGGCTGCTGGGGGTGTTTATGCACGGGAAGAGAGGGTCAGAAGGGTGAAATCAATAGTGAGCCTTAATGAGGTTGTCTGAAAAGAAGGAAGGGAGGGGATATGTGGGTGATTTGACAGACGATGTTGAGAGAAGATTTGCTGCATGGAGCTGAAGAGGCTCGAACTCAAATTGACAAAACAATAGTGGCTCTTAGGTAGGTGTTAGGGTAACTTGGCAACTGGTTTAGTTTTGTCAAAGTCAGGAGAAAATGTTTTTCATTGTCTTGTTTTGTTCTTCGACAAAATGTAGCTTGCAGTGACTGACAGAAAACTTAATCTCACACAGACAGCCATCATATCCGTTCGAAATGTATTCAGGCCATGCCAGACTTATGAAGGCACGCTGTGTGATTGGTACATTTGGTTACACATACTTTTCATGAGAGGCAGGAAATTTGCAAACAAAATAAGCTGGCACTCCATTGATTTTTCCATAATATGTGTAGTTACCAGGGCACTTCTGTCTGATTTATTTTTCACTTTTTTTTAAAGAATTAAGCCCTGCTGTAGTAACCTAGTTAGATCAGAGTTACGTAGCAGGATTGTGATGTGACATATGCTGCCATAAAAAACAACATAACCCATTACAGATCCCAGTGATGCTGTAGCCTTTTCATTTGCCTGCTGGGAAAGGGATAACATGAGCTTCTGAGAGGCAGGACTGATGCTGTAACAACTGAATTATGAAAGAGACATTTTCAAATTGGTTTGGGATTTGTCCTCTTTGTGAAGACATTATTTTACATTCATTGTTCTCCTATAATAGGGTTTTCATAGAGGTCAGCTTGTGTGTGGGAAGGCTGAGTTGTTGTAGCTGTGCTCGGAGACAGCTGTCTGTACAGAGAAACACAGCTGATGAAACGTCTGTCAGCTCATGCTTTTCCTCTAGAGATCAGCATCCACCCAGGGTAGTAAAGGGGCAAGAGGTGGAGTTTATTTCAGTGAAGAAGGAAAGACACAATGCCTCACTTTTTAGTCCAGCAGCATGGCTTTAGCGATGGCAATATCAGTCGGTCCATCACTTTGGTCTAGACTGACACTCAACAACTGGATGGATTGTCATTAACTTTACACAAACATTCATGGTCCCCAAAGTTACTGATTTTAATGATCGCCTGACTTTTCATCTAGTGCCTCCATGAGGTTGGTATTTTATGTTTTTACTGAAGTTTCTTTCCAACCAGTGGGTGGATTGGTACAGAGATTTATGGTAGACAGATGATGAACCCTAATGCTTTTGGCTTTTACTCTGTGTCTAGTCCCAATTAGCAAATGCTGCAATGTAAATGTGGGCTAACACTCTGAAATAACATCATAACCATAGTAAACATTTCATCTGCTAAAAGCACAGACTGTATCAAAGGTAGCCTCTAGGTCTGAAAAGTGAAGCCAATGCAGAAGTGCCTTAAAGGGACATTGTGTAACATTTTCAGTTGTTTATTGGCAAAAATTGATGTCTGCATTCATAAATATGTCATCACTGGTGTACTATTACCTCCACCAATAATCTGACTTATTCTCGTAAAAGGAGAATTTCGGATTTGTTTGTACATTGTGCGGGTAAGTCGTCTGTGGGGTTCCATTACATTTCGCCATCTTGAGAATACACCCACCAGCAAGGGACATACAGCACCGCCTTCGGCGTTTTTGTTGAGAGCCAGGTCAACACTGCGTGACTGAGGAGCCGAAGGAGAGGAGCAAGAGGCGCCTCGCTTCTACCCTGGCAAATTTGAAACAAAGTCCCACTCTTTGAGCATAATGCAGGATCATGCATATGCAGCATCATGGGAGACGGAATCCTTGTCGCCAAGAAAGCGCAAAAGGCAATAGAAAAGGCAGCGTGACCGGCGAATTAAAAAAACGAAGGCCCACATCGGGGTAGCCTTTCCCAGGTAGAGAGCTGCTGAGGGAGAAAGGTAATACAATCACAGGCCAGCGCTAACAGCGGCTAACAGCTAACAGCGGCGCAGTGATGCGAGGAGAGGGATGAGGCTGTTAGTGACTGGCCGCTAACAGCGGCTAACAGCCAACAGCGGCGCTGGCCTGTGATTGCATTACCATTCTCCCTCAGCAGCTCTCTCTATCTGGGAAAGGCAACCCCAATGCTGACCCTTGTTTTTTTAATTCGCCGGTCACGCTGCCTTTTTGATTCCCTTTTGCACTTTCTTGGCGACGAGGATTCCATCTCCCGTGATGCTGCATAATACATGATCCTGCATTATGCTCAAAGAGTGGGACTTTGTTATGCGGCAGTAGTGCCGCTGGCCACTAACAGCTGTTAGCGGCGCAGTAATGTGAGGAGAGGGATGAGGTGTGTGAGGTTGAGCCACTTGTCAGTTGTCAAAAGACAAGACGTGATCGGTTTGTTTCAATTTACATCTGCCCCAACAGTCCTACGTTGTAAACACAGCAGCATGGTGAGGAGGGGGTTTGTCAACTCGCGTCGCGTGTGTCTGTGTAGGAGCCTGAATGAATACTCCATGTAGTATCGGATGACATGGTTTTATCAGTGTTATCATAGCTTTTTGGTACACAGCGGCTACAGTTGTTGCAATACGTGTTTGAAACAGTGAGGCACTAGAGTGCGCCATCTGTTTGAATGCAATATATGATTTCAGCGTTAGATGGTAGAAATTCCTACACACTGTGGCTTTAAGCTTGCATTCTTTCTAATGGCCAGCAGGGGGTGACGCCATTGGTTGCAAAAATAAGACTGATATTATGGAAATCTATGAGAAAATGACCTTACTTGTCACTTGATTTGTTACCTCAGTAACCATTTTCACAGTGAGTTTATGGTCTCGCTAGTTTCAAGTTTTCTTCAATACAGCATGATGTTCATTTTGTAAATCATGGGCACATTTAGAGTAAAATAGACAAAGCAGGGCATGATTCTGGGCGTGATTACCTTGTGAATGACAAGTTGCTTCCATGGTGTTGCCCTCTCTGTCAGATCCACCCCTCGCTCCTTCACACCTCTACCCTCCCATCCAAATAGGAATCTAATTACTTCAGTGACCCAATGATCACTTCAAAAGCCACAATGGCAATGGCCAAAATGCCAGACTAGAGGCTTCAGAATGGAAGTCCGCAAACCATTAGGTGACATCATAGTGGCTACTTCCACTTCTTTTATAGAGTCTATAGCTAAAAGTCTGCATGCTATCATGCTGATGTTAGCATTTCACTCAAAACCCCACTGTGTCCAAGTACAACCTAACTGAGCTGCTGGCATGGTTGTAGACTCTAAATCATATTGTAATTAATTGGGTTTAAAGCCTTCGAACTGCAGCCGCTAGTTGATTAATCGATCAGTTGATCCACTGAAAATTAACTAACAACTATTTTGATAATAAATTTATCATTTCAGGGCATTTTTTTTAAAGAATGACTGCCAACATTCTCTGGTTACAGCCTCTCAAATGTGTATATGTGTATATTTTCTGGTTTCTGTAGTCTAATGAAAGTAAACTGAAGTTCTTTGAGTGCTTATACCACAGTTTACCAAGAAGCAGGGAACATCACAACAAGAAGCCTGATGATATGTTACCATCTACAGCATGGCCATCTTGGTCATTCGCTCATTATTTACTATAAACAGGTCTAACCTCTTTTCCTTTTCCTCTTTTTTTACAGAGCACCTCATCTCCCCATCGAGTCCTGTAACCAATGGCAACCTCAGTCCAGACTCTTCCTCTGACCCGTGGCCCCAACAAAAACTTCCGTAACCCGTTGCCCCTCTCGTCCCGTTGCGGCATGGGAAGTGTAGGTAGTCTGGTGGAGAGGCCAGATGTGTCACCGACTAAAGGCAGCCGTGCAGTGCCCCAGGTGAGACCCAAACAGACCAACGGCCTCCTGAAGAAAGGCTTCACCCAAAGAGAGCTACTCAACTACCTCAACATCACCAGGTGAGTGCTGCCATAAAGACGCACATGCTTTCAAAGAACATTTTACATTGTGCAACTTTGAAGGCAAAGAACTCTGCGAGGAACTATAAAACGTGACAGGACTTGATCACAGTTGACCCATTGTGCTTCCAAACAGAAAAGAGCCTAAAGCAAGTGCAAGCAGTGAGGGTAAGAAGGACGTTATCCCTTGCCTCAGCCCTGCCAGTGGCCGTGAGGAGGACAACTTATACGCCAAGGTCTACCATAAAGACGGCACCGAAGTAGATTTGACAAAGAACTCACTGCCAAGTGGGGGCAAGTATGAAAAGGTGAATATTGTTGTTTAAAACACTGCAAAGGGTCAATCATATAAAGCCTATTTATAGTTGATTTATACTTTTGGTGGAGGTGTATGGTGTTTCCTTGCTGTATGAGTGAGTGACACCTTAAAGTTGACTCGGCTGTAAGAAGGTGCAGCACCATAGATTTTACAAATCAAGCAGCTCATTTCAGTGTTGTTAAGTTCGAGCTATGGATATATTCTGAGCCAGTTACTTTGAAATGTGTCTTTGGACAGCTGCTTGCCTTAGCAACGCTACTGTTATGTGAACATTATTGCTGTTAACGTTGAGGTCATTGGAACTGCTGTTTGCGCTAGTCCTTTCAGGTGCCACCAGACGCCAGTGGTCCATTTTGCTTGCATGCTTTCAGCTTCACATCATTGAAACCTTTCTGTCGTGAGAGATTCTGCAATAGCAGAAGAGGCTCAAAGCCTTGTGTGTTGTCCACTCCACCCACATTCTGCACCGGTGCCAGTGACATTGGATGAAATTTATTAGACACTGTCATAAATGTGTGCAGAAATGTTGCACGTTAGAAGTGCTTGATTTGTGGGAATTGATGAAATTATGCACAATACCCACGATCCTGCTCTGAAAGAATGTGCATTACATTATTAAAATCTTGATATAAGAGCGAAATACATAATTTAAAGAATCAGGGAAATCTTAAAGGTCGTAAAATGTCCTCTAAAGCAGTATGTGGAGGACCAAGTCTTATTTACAGATTCAGGCACAGATGCAGCCGAATGACTTCCCATTGTGTTCTTCTTATAAATGATATACAGCCAGTGACTGGCTGCCGGGGCTGTGCTAAATTGATCAGTATCACATTTATACATCTCAGGCAGCATGGTGCAACATAGCACCCCCATAGCCTGTTACCGGCATAAATCAGCCTCTGGTTCACCAGCATAGATTGAGAATCTGCCACTTGCTGTGTTGCTGAATTTATTGCAGCAATCAAATCTCACCTTTTTTTTTTGCTTGAATTGATCAACTCTAAGAACACACAGGGCGGGACAGCATCGATTTAATAGAAACATTGTGATTTATTGTTCTGTTGCCCACCCCCTGTTAGCTGTGAGTAAGGTCTCTCTCTCCCCTGTAGCTAAAGTTCCTACTATCTTTGCATCCTCTAAAAGTGCCCTGAACTTGGCTCTTTTTCTCCAGGCTCGTTTAAGGTCTGCCTTCAAGCCTGTCACCCCCAAAAATTTCAGCTCCATGCAAAACCTCTATCCATCATCCAAGTCGGAGGACGTGGACCATGGCCTCTCTAACGGGCTCCACAGAGCCTACGCCCATATCCCTAAAGCTGTCTCCACGTCGTCTTCGTCTTCATCGCCCTCACGTCATGGAGGACCAACAGCCAGTGGAAACAAGGTATCTTAACACACGATTATCACTTAAAATCTTTTCATAGACTTCAGTCAAAGTTGAGCTATGAGCCAGAGAACAGGTGCATTAGGTTTTAGATCCAGGATACAGTCTTTGTGTATTGATTACATGAGCAGAACAACTTCTCATGATTTGTCATTGTGTTCACTCATTATTTGGGATTAAATTAAATCTTTTCTCCACCTATTAATGTAACAGTGATGAATAACTGCATAATTATGACTGTAGACCCTCTCTTCGGTGCGTGGGATGAGCCAGGAGGATGATAACCTGTCAGACTCAGGCCATAACTCCATGAGCAGCCTGCCGCCATACCGGCCTCCCTTCCGCCCACACCTGTCTCACATCAGGTCTGCCGCAGCATTATTGTCTTAGCTCTACTTTATATTCAAAAGAAGTGTTGCTATAATTGATTTTTTTATACTTAATGACTGTGTGGGTGGTGATAATGGAAGAGATTTTAATGGCCTTTGGGATTTCTTTTTTTAGTGCATCTATGGGCCACATCAACACCATTGGCTCCCTAGAACGCACCTCTCTGGGCCAGAAGGCTGCAGGGCCAGGCGGTGTTGCCATTGGGGAAATGGCGTGTCGGAGCATGGCAACTCTGAGCCGTTTGGCTCCATATGGAGGGGAGGCTCCACCTCCTTATGAATGGACACTCTCCCTGTCTGTTGAGGAAGTGGTGAGTACTGCACAGATGCATGGATGAATGGAGGGATGAGCAGGTCAGAATGATTTACAGACTAGTTTGTCCTTCATGTTTTCTTTTCCAGGTCCGGGATCTCGAGGAGCGACTGGTGGAGAAAGAGCACGAGCTGAAACAGATGAGGAGAAACCTGGATGAAAGTGAGGGCGCCATCGCTCAGGTGAATCTCATTGTCTGTTCTTCATCATCAATCTTTACATCCATCTGCCTCTCTTTTGAAGTTTGACCCCCATCTGCTTGCCTTCATGCAGGTGTTTGAAGGGAAGCAGCGTCTGTGGGAGAAGGAGGTGGAGGAGCTGAAACGTCTGTATGCTGCCAAGCTGCGTCAGGTTTCCCAACATGCACAGCGTTCCCAGCGCAGCCTGCAGTTGCAGCTGTTCAAGGCCCAGCAGGAGAAGAACAGACTGCAAGAGGAGCTCGACAACCTGAATAAGGAAAGGAGCCAAGAGGCTGGAGCCATAACAAAGCGAACCAGTCAGACTCTGGAGGAGACACAATGGGAGGTATGGCCTTGGAAGAAAACTTTACAGCAGGGAGAGGCACTTAAAAAGTAGTAATTACAGGGGACAGTGAAGATAACACAATTACCTCCTTGTTTGCCCAGATAAAAAGATCACAACCAGGCCAGAAGAGTCAGTAAAAATTTATGTTTCTCCTGCCATTATCCCTGATCTTCCCCTGACTCTACCTCTCAGGTTTGCCAGAAGTCAGGAGAGATCTCCCTGTTGAAGCAGCAGCTGAGGGACTCCCAGGCGGAGGTGACCCAGAAGCTGAGTGAGATCTTCCAGCTGAAGACGCAGCTCAGGGAGACCCGCACAGATCTGCGCAACAGGGAGGGCCAGATAGACGCACTGAAGCTAGTCCTGCAGGGGACACAGCGTCGCAGATGCCCCTCTCAGACTGCACATGAGGATGGAAAAGGAGGTGAAGAGAGTCCTTCAGCTGGGGCAACAGGTAGATTTATGTGTCTGTCTCTTACTTGTGTATAAATATCATCACTGGCATTGTTTAACTATGTACTTTGATGATAAAAAAAGAATACACGTAGTCATGCTGAGGCACCACAAGTACAGATCAAATTTAATGTTCATTTGTTGATACAGCACTTCACCAAACGCAAGTCTTAGAGTACTTTACATAAACCTACGCCTGCACATGCCAAGCTGACATGCATGGAAATTCTTTGGGGGGAAAGTAAAAGGAGCAAGATAATTATATGCCACAGATGTCTGCTTAATATCACAGCAAGCGAGGCATCCAAACTGGGTTTCTTATCAACACAGCTGGAGCTTGTCTGGGTTATTTTGAGCTAGGATGTTTACATGCCTGGACCCAAAATCAGGTTATTTGACTAACCAGGTCAAGAGCAGAGTTCTCTGCACATTTAAAAGCAGCCAGTGTCTTCCATTATATTCCCCCTACGGCTGTGCTGGCCTGTAGTTGAAGCCATGTGGACCTTTTGCTTGCAGGAGGATGCGGGGGCCCTACGGAGGAGCGTCTGCGCGCAGAGCTCCTGCTGGAGCGACGCCAGAGCGAGGCCCAGGCAATGGCTTTCGAGGAGGAGAGGAAGACATGGCAGACAGAAAAGGACAAGGTCATCCGCTACCAGAAGGAGCTGCAGGCCAGCTACTTAGAGATGTACCACCGCAATGAGGCGCTGGAGAGGGAACTGTACCTGCTGCGGCTAAACAGAGAGCGAGGAGGAGCAGGAGCAGGAGCAGGAGCAGGAGGAGGAGGAGGAGGAGGAGGGGGAGGAGGGAGCAGAGATGGGACATTGGAAAGAGAAGTGCCAGAGCTGAGGAGTGAGAGAGGGGGTGAAAAACAAGAGGACAGACCTTCCTCTGGTTTGCCATGGATAGAGAGAATTGAATCATCTGAAATTTGAATGTGACGGACTGACTGGTATTTGCAATGCAAACTGTTTTCTCCCTGAAGTGTGCTTGCTATGGAGGCCCATGTCCGCCAGAAGAAGGGGAAAAATAGACTTAACAAGTCAAAGGTATGAGATAAGGAAGAATTTTTAACTCACTAAGGCAAAATTTTAGACATTTTCAGTACTTACCAGGTTATTAATTATGAGGAAGCTATCTACATTTTTAATTCACTTTGTCAAAATGCTTTATTTAACACATTTTAAATGATGTGATCCTCAAATCTTTTGATCTGCCGTGTAAATATGATCAGATACTAAGTCAGCATGTTGACTCACTAAAGCTCACACTATCCGTAAGACCATTTTTCAGCTTTTACAAAGAGATTTCTCACATTTTTCCACATCTCTCAGCAAAAAGCTTCTTCTTTCCCCAGTGTGGTGGCTGTGGTAAAGCCATTTGATGCTCCTGTTAGGATTGTAAACTTCTGGTTGGTCAGTTGATTGGTTGGTCCATATGCTCTTTTCCAACCAAATTCTCATTGGTCGGTCAATCGCTGGTATTTTTGGCCCACCCTTTCTCTCGGCATTATTATCATTTCATTCGGCTACCAGTGCGTTTGCTACATTCCACAAGCTCATTTAGCTCTCTCAATCTAATCTTTGTTAAATGCCACAATCATATAAACACAGGCAAATTAGCCATCACTAACATACCCTTAAGTCTTTCAGCCCGAATTGGCTACCCAGCAGTTACTGCTTTGCTGTGGGTGTGTGCTTTGTGCTAACGTTAGCTGCTATTAGCTGCTGAACAAGAGGCTCTCTCACTCTTTGGTTCAGAGGGTGTGTGCTGTGCCACCATAGACTGCGTGCTACTGGGTTAGCTGCTAACAAGAGTCTGTCGCTGCAGCCAAGCCTTTGTTCTTTGACTCAGGGGGTGTGTGTGTGCTTTGTGCTACTGGGTTAGCTGCTAATGAGAGTTCTTCACTTCGCAGCAACTCCCTCTTCGTTTCAGTTTCTTCAGAAGACACGCCCCCAGCATCTTGGAGCAGAGAATCAAATTTGGCTGAGTGGTTAATAACACACTTTTCTATTGTGTGGTAAACTCATAACACATTTATTTTTGCTTTACCTTGACTTTACGTCAACACTGGGATAGTACTACCTCAAAAGTCTGACATATTATCTCATATTTTTGACTTTGAAGAGTATATTGATTTTTTACCATGCATAATTTTCATCTGTTTTCCTTCTCCTGGCCTCTCATGGGCTTCCATAGTTTCTTGTCTGTTTGCCATTCTCTGCCCATGCACCCTTGTTGATTGTTTAATGCCCTGATCCTGCAAAGACTGGACCAATAATCTCCTACAGAACACACTAATACTGAGGGTAGCTGCACAGAGACACTGTCTGTGTCTCGTCTGTCCTTTGGCAGAAGAGTGGTGACAACTCAGTAAAAATACAGCCAAACACCTGAACTGTCCTGCTTAAGACTTCTATCCAATTATAAACCTGTAAATGAGCAAATTAATATCCTGATTGTTTATATTTTATGTTCATTTGATAGATAATTTCTGGTTTGGACTGCTGTATAGTCTTAGTCTTATAGACAGTAACCAAAGGACTCAAAGGGATTTGGTGTGGCCCAGGAACATCTCAGCACCTGTTCAGTCTGTGCAGAAGGGTCTGTGAATTCAGGGTTCACTTGGGTCTGTGAGGAAAGCTGCATCTCTGGGTTAAGTATTTGGGATTAAACCAATCTGGTGCCAAGGTACTAATGCTATGTCTTTGCCATGGAGAAAACTGTGTACCATACTTAAGAAACTGGAAATGTTGGACCTTTATCTCATTGAGTGTCCAGCTCCTGTCAGATGAGATCTATAAATTTTGTACATAATGTAATTTTGATTTGATCGGCCTTTGTCATTGTATTTCAAGCACACTGTTGTCTTAAATGGGCATATTGCCACATGTTTTGATTGCAGTGAAAGCAATCGACACATTCGGATGTTAAACATGACTGCCCTGCTTACCGGTGCGATTTGTTGCGCATACCCAGCCAATGCCATTATAAAATGCATGACATAGGTGAAGTTGCTCTCTTGTATTGTTTATTATGAATATATGAACATCCAAAAGCCAGCTCTCAACCAACCCTTCAACATACTGTGACTCTTGTCTATTTACTGGAATTAAACCTGTACAATATAAATATATATGTTTGGATTCATAATAAACATTTATGAAGTGGTGAAAGAGCTTTGTAGATGGTGCTTGTCCCGATGGTATTTTGGGGGGTAAATCAAGGCTGCAAAATGCTTTATCATAGGCCTTACTGTCCGACATTGTTTGAATTAAATGCACCAGAAATCACTTGTCAAAATGTTAGTGGCGTAACTGATGGCATTCACCCGAGGGCTCAGACGGCTGCCTGCTCCGAAGGGGCTTAAAATCTCCACAGAGCGTGCCAATAAAACCCAAGGACAGGAGCTTTATGACAGAATGAACAACAGAGCGGTGGAGGCTTTTGGGACTAATGTGGCTTTTAGAGGTTGAGCCTTGAATCCTTATCTCAGCCTTTCCCTAAGGCCCTCCCTGCTCTACCCCAGCCAGTCCTCACATACCATCTCCTGCAGCACAGACAGCAGGGAGCTGGAGGGTCGGCTGAGATGGAAACATAGGAGGATCCCTGTTTGCTCAAGAAAATAAGCACCTCTATGGAAACCATCAAATGTGCAAACTAGAACAGAGTGCCAAGGATGTCTTGGCAAGGATGAAAGCTTAACGTTTGACTCTATTTTTTTTTTTTTTTTCAAATCCATGTGTTATGTTTATGGTTTTGAAGGAGAGAATATCTATAAAATAGTGTGAAAAATGAGAGAAATTGCACATGTAAGTCCATAACGCAGGTTTATTTTTTTATCCAGGGTCATAATCTGAATAGCTATGAGCTGTGGCTGACTCACGAGGCCCTTACCTTGGCATTTAAAGCATTATATAAACTGGGGCTTAATATAACTGCACAGCTCAGGAGTGGTTTGCTGAAGTGGGATGAAAAAGGATTCTTACCTCATGTTATCACTCTGTGGGAGGGTTGCAGTGCTGAATGCCATCAGTGCTGTTCGTCTGATGAATTCAAATGATTATTTGAAATCAGAATTTAGAAAGGAAAAATGGTTCCTTGTTGAAACTCATTTTAATTAAAACCTCCAGCTTGTGATCTAATGCACTTCAAGGCTATTTAGTCAGTTCAATACAGCAATAGCACCACCAAGTGGTGCTGAAAGGAGGCTGAGCAGATATAAAACCATGAAGATAAATCAGTTATTCGGGGCTCCCACAGACATGGAAACCCTGGACAATTTAATTTTCAAGGCCCAGAAAAGTCATACACTCAGTAAAATCCTTGAAAGTTTATGAAAAGTCATCGTATTTTGTTGTGTGTAATTGAAGTGTTACAGTCATGTCTGTGGATAACCTTCCACATATTGTAACCTAAAGGTCCATTGTGTAAGATTTAAGTGGATTTAGTGGCATATGCTGCTGGTGAGGATAACACATTGCAACCAGCTGAAACTTCTCCCAGTTTGAATTCCTTCAGTGTTCAATGTTTGGCAACCAGGTTTTTACCAGGAGCCGAATTATCCACAAGGGTCTCTTCCTCTCCAAAAGAAATGGACCAGGTGATTTAGACCAGTAAAAAACACTGAATACAATAAAGTGTTTGTCTGATGCCCGCCATGGAGGAGCTGTTATCTAAAGAAGCTGACGTGAAAATGTGAATGTCCCTATTTAGAGCCAGTGTTTCATTTGTCCGTTCTGGGCTTCATCTGGACAATCTCCATAGATGAGAATGTGCTCCCTATTGTAGATACAGTCAGGTCCATAATTATTTGGACAATGATACAGTTGTCATCATTTTGCCTCTGTACACCACCACAATGGGTTTTAAATGAAACAATGAATACGTGCTTAAAGTGCAGACTCTCAGCTTTCATTTAAGGCTTTTTTCAAAAATGTAGTATGAACCGTGTAGGAATGACAACCATTTCTTTACACAGTCCCCCAACTTTAAGGGCTCGTAAGTATTTGGACAAACTAACATAATCATCAATTTAACAGTCAGTTTTAATACTTGGTTGCAAATCCTTTACAGTCAATGACTGCCTGAAGTGTTGGACACATAGGCATCATCAGATGCTGGGTTTCTTCCCTGGTGATGCTCTGCCAGCCCTTTACTGCAGCCGTCTGCACTTCCTGCTTGTGTTTTGGGTGTTTTGCCCTCAGTTTTGGCTTCAGCAAGAGAAACGCATGCTCAGTTGGATTCAGGTCAGATGATATGACTTGGCCATTGCAGAACATTCCACTTCTTTGCCTTAAAAATGTCTTTGGTTGCTTTTGCAGTATGCTTCAGGTCAATGTCCATCTGCACTGTGAAGCATCGTCCAATGAGTTTTGAAGCATTTGGTTGAATCTGAGCAGATAATGGTGCCCCAAACACTTCAGCTTTCATCCTGCTGCTCTTGTCAGCAGTCACATCATCAATAAATACAAGAGAACCAGTTCCACTGGCAGCCATACATGGCCATGACATAACAGTACCTCCACCATGCTTCACTGATGAGGTGGTGTGCTTTGGATCATGAGCAGTTCCTTCCCTTCTTCCTTCTCTTGTCTTCCCATCATTCTGGTAGTTGATCTTTGTTTTATCTGTCCATAGTATGCTGTTCCACAACTGTACAGGCTTTTTAGATGGTTTTTGACAAACTCTAATCTGGCCTTCCATTTTTAAGGCTAACCAATGGTTTGCATCTTGTGATAAACCCTCTGTATTTATTCTAGTGAAGTCTTGTCTTGCTTACAAGAGCAGCAGGATGAAAGCTGAAGTGTTTGGGGCACCATTATCTGCTCAGATTCAACCAAATGCTTCAAAACTCATTGGACGATGCTTCACAGTGCAGATGGACATTGACCTGAAGCATACTGCAAAAGCAACCAAAGACATTTTTAAGGCAAAGAAGTGGAATGTTCTGCAATGGCCAAGTCATATCATCTGACCTGAATCCAACTGAGCATGCGTTTCTCTTGCTGAAGCCAAAACTGAGGGCAAAACACCCAAAACACAAGCAGGAAGTGCAGACGGCTGCAGTAAAGGGCTGGCAGAGCATCACCAGGGAAGAAACCCAGCATCTGATGATGCCTATGTGTCCAACACTTCAGGCAGTCATTGACTGTAAAGGATTTGCAACCAAGTATTAAAACTGACTGTTTAATTGATGATTATGTTAGTTTGTCCAAATACTTATGAGCCCTTAAAGTCGGGGGACTGTGTGAAGAAATGGTTGTAATTCCTACACGGTTCATACTACATTTTTGAAAAAAGCCTTAAATGAAAGCTGAGAGTCTGCACTTTAAGCAGGTATTCATTGTTTCATTTAAAACCCATTGTGGTGGTGTACAGAGCCAAAATGACAACAACTGTATCATTGTCCAAATAATTATGGACCTGACTGTATAAACGGCTCATTCTAAGTTACTGAAAACACAATGATTCTTATTTTCAGGTGGTTATCTAATAACAAAAACATACTTATTATATTCCATTTCGCCAGTATATCCCCCAAAATCCTACACAATGGACCTTTGATTTATTTTCTGTAGATGGTAAAGAAACATGGCTCTAATATGTGTTGATGTGTCACCTTTACCATCATGTACACTTCATTTTTTACCCACATTCTCCATCTCTCCCTCGTTGTATGCAACCTTGGTGAATGAATAACACCAGGCAAGTGGGGCGAGAATGTTTCCATATCTGTGCACCACTGCTACTTTTAAATTGTACTGCATTTTTGAGATGGGGCCTTGATATGGGCAGCACAGGGCGTTCAGCTGCCACTCTGAGCACCATGTGTACATTGGTTTCATTTTAACTAGTCTGAAAGTAGAGCGTAGTAGTTTAAGGCAGTGGTTCCCAACTGGTCCAACCACAGGGTCCAGATTTCCCCTTTGTCATTAGTTTAAGGTCCACACAGTTTAATACACACAGCGTCACACTTTGGTAAGGTCGCTGAGCAAGTTTGCTGTCTCTGTCCAGTAGTTGTCAGTTAGTCACTCATTCTACAGCAGGAGAAGGCACTTCAAAATAAAAGTTAAGTGCCAGAAATTCACTGTAACTAAAAATAAAGTGTGTTTTTTACAACTTGACACATTAGTGAGTCATTTGCGATCCATTCCGAATGGACCGCAACCCATTTTTGGACACCGACCCACCAGTTGGGAACCGCTGGTTTAAGGTTAATAATATAATTAATATTTGGAGTAAAGTATACTACACGCCTCTGTTCTTGTTATATATTATGAATGGTCAAGGAATTTTTATTATGGGTCCTTAAAAAGTCAATATAAATTTTGCACATGATACTGTTGGGAAACCCTGTGTGGTGGGAACAGGCCACCACCTGATGCCATGTCACACCTCCAAAGCTGACTTGGAGTATAAATTTTTATTTTAATTTCAGATGCAAGTATATGAAACATGTTAGAGGATAAATATTTACAATAAAAGTTGCATTAACACACAAAAGCAGGAAATGCAAACATTCAACAAAATTAATACGACAGAAGTACGGAGCGCTAGCAGTCTATCCGAAGGAACACTCAAAGAAGCAATGAATGATTGTCAACCAAAGAAAGAAAAAAGAGGAAATTCAGTGAAAGTCCACGCAAAACATGTGCTTCAACCCATTTCCAAATGAAACCAGATAAAAATCTTAAATCTGAGTGTAATGTTGCATTGTCAGTGTGAGCTATGCTGGTGCGGTGCTTGCTAAACAAATTAGCCTCACTATAGTGTGAGGTGACATCACCATTTTCAAGAGGACACCGGGGAACTTGCACTGTTGATCATCTAAACATATTGTATTGAACATCCAAATGCCTTGGACCTTGTGACAGGCTTTTCCCCCAGTGTATGCTTGCACATCACCATCTGAATAATATATACAAACTCTTATAATACCCAAACTATCAGCCTCACCCAGTGAAATATGTGTCATCTTTGTTCAAGACTCCTTATATAAATGTACAACTTTAAAACTGCAAAGTGTGGTATGAAGTGATACAATGAGCCCTGAGGAAATGTATGGATTTAAATGTTTCTATGACTCCATCTCAAATAAAAGCTATGCAGCAGAGGAATTTTCTAAGTATATATTAAACAACAGCCACAATGATCAGAGGACTTTCCCCCACCCACGACGAGTA